TTTCATAGAATCAGTTATCTAAACACCAAGAGGGTGGGGAACTGGGTAATTCTAGAGAGAAGAGAAAAAGAAAAAGAAAGGAAGAATAATTAAGTCCTCTGCTCTGTGGTATGGGAAGAAGGAAAAAGGAATGGATCAAAGGGACCTATTGATGTTAAGGATACGTGGTATGTATCTAAAAAGGGGTAATGGAATATTATACAAACTTTGTAGTGGGAAATGGGAATGGGTGATTCTATAATTGACATATATTAGACAAAAAAGTTTAAGGGAGACAATTGAAAAGGTGCAGGGGAAAAAAGTAAAACTGACAATGAACAAAACACAGGAGAAAGAGGTCAGGTGAAGAGATATGGGTAAAAGAAGGAAGGAGAGAATTCACCCACTGTCTATTAACAATTGGAAAGAAAAAAAGGTAAGAGTATGCAAAGAACACATACATATTCTCATAAAAGAAAACAAATTTAAAATGGATAAATATGTGGGGAAACATGAACAGAAGGAAAATATTGAAGATTTTAAAAATAAATAAAATAAAAATAACACAATCAAATAAAGAATAAGAAAGAAGACAAATTTATATTATTTTGGACACACGGATTTTTTTCCTCAGACTTGAATTAAGGAGCAGTGCTCAGTCTTAATTCATGCCGGAAACTTAAGGTGGCAATTTGATACAACATGATAAAACCAATGGAGATAGAAGAACAAAAGCTTGATGGGGCTTCAAAACAAGCTGATATTAAATCAGCACTAGCTATTATAGTGTCTTGTTTTCTTCAGAATAACTGTTCATACATGTGTTACGTCCTTTCATCTTAATCTCCCCCCTTTTATATATATATATATTTTTTTAATAAAAAATGTTAAAAAAATTTTTTAAAAGGTGGCAATCTGAGCCCAAAATTGTGCTGTGTATATAGATCTGCTTGTAGTGGGAATAATGTGAGCTATTACCCTGGTAATTCAGGCCATACTTGCTCCTGACTACAGGACTGGAGTCTGTGATCACCAGCCCCTAACTCTCAGTGGAAATCCTCCTGAGAACTTGGCTATGTGAAGCAGCTGTGAAACTGTTCGGGGACTTAGGCTCAAATACCCAACTCTTTCCTGCAATGGCATTCTCCACCTTTTGCTCCATCCTATTGTGTCCTTGGACACTTGTACTAGTCATTCACCAGCTGTTGACTATGCAGAGCCTCTCAGGAAGCAGTGTCTCCCATGATTCCTGTTCTCTCCAACTGCGTAAGATTCACCTGATCCTGTTGCAGGTTTCTGTTTCCCTGTGGGCAGAAAAGTTGCTATTTTCACTTTGGCTCCCAGCTGGCAGCTATTTAGCCACTGTCCTCAGTGCCACTTGGTCTCCCCTCTGCAGCAGTGGTCTATTTCTTCAGGATCACTTACTTTCTTTTCCTCTGTCAGTTCCCTCATGGTTCCTGGGTACCCTACACTCACTTCAATTCTCTCCAAACTATTATTTCCCAGAATCTAGACACTTTGCCCTGGAGAAGTTGTTTTCCTCTCCCCATTTGAAATAGTAAAAAGTTTAGGCTTGGAAGGCAAATTGAGCTGAATCACACTTCCAGAATCCAAGCTTTTTTCTCTATGCTACCTGCCCCTTAACACTAGCTACTAGTTTTTAAGAAGATTTCAATACATGATGTAAAGAAACATGCCAAAAGGAAGGGGCTAAAGATGCTCAGTGATAAACTGCTTCTGTGGCATGTGTGAGGCCCTGAGTTTGATCCTGGGCACAAGGGAAAGAGAAGGAAAGGGGATTGCTAAAATAGTAAAGTAAGGATAAATAAAATAATGGGAAGCACTAGATGCAGGAACTGCTTCCAATAAGGGGCAAGGTTTAAGAATAAGGGTATCAGGAACACCCTCCTTTCTGGCACACAACAGCAGGGATAAGTAATTTCACATCATTAAGCAACTCTGTGTTCCTAAATGTAAGGGAGCTTCTGCAATGAACTGAAATCCAAGAATCCTCTTAAGGTTTGAGAAGGTCAGAATATTGCAATGAACAATCCTATGTGAAAATCTTGAAGTATCTAGGCTCTTTCCCCTTGTATCTATCTCTTTTTTCCCTCCCTAGATCTGCACAAGTTGAGATTAACTATTTGCATCCTTCACCAGGAGGAAACCTAAAGCATATGTGGTTCCTTCAGACTTGAGCCAGTCTCAGCCATCTCTACTGCCTGCATACTATCATTAAGGAAGACAGAAAATAGAGAGTGCCTATAGGATGAGAGAGAATTTTTACCTTCACTCCTGTCTTTCCAGATCCACAGCCATAGGTGTTCACAATCTGTCACTTCACCATTTCCCCTCTCTGGGGTCCTGATGCCAACTCCACTCATATACTCTCTCCAACATAGAGATTGAGAGGTGAATGGGAAACTTAGCAATACAGGGTGAGACGGTTTATTTATTTATTTTTTTGTCTTTTTCCTTTTTATCGGTACCAGGGATCGAACTCACGACTGCCTGCTTTCAAGGCAGGCGCTTATGCTGCTGAGCTAAATCCCCAGCCCCGTGAGACGGTTTATAAGGCAAGAGGGAGTGTAAGTGCTGGAGGCATTGCAAGCACCAGCATCTAATCTCAGCAGCCATCTCCTAGGGATGGCACTGCCTCATACTTACCTCCTTCAATAGCTACCACTGGTTCTCTGCACAAATGTTTCCCTCAGGATAGCTGCCCAATTCTCAAGCTCCTATACAAAAGAGAGACCTGGCTAAGACATTTGGAATTGTCTGAGATTGCATTCTCTTCTACCAAAGAAGGCTAAAATTCTAGTCACCTAAGAAATTGGTTTTCAAGCAAATGTAGCATGTAGGGATATCTACTCACCTGAACATCCTGTCACTCTACCCACCTGTCTCAATTGTCAGGTATGTCTCTCGTCCCTTCTTCCTAGAAAGTAAATGTCTTTCTGCAACCCAAGCAGGTACCTAGTCACATCACCCACCATCAGATTCAGTCTCATATGATGACACAGTGAGCTAGGCTGTAGCAGCAGACTCTTCATGAATGCGATCTGTTGTGAAAAGTATCAATAAATAAAACATTCAAATTAAATTTCTTCCACCAAGATGATCACTGATAAAACTAGTGATCTAAACTTCCACTTTGCCCTACTTCGTCTAAACTTCATAGACTCAGAAGTAAATCACATTGTACCATAGGAAAATGATAAAGTATTTGGAGAAAGTCAACATAAATTACTGGGTATTTCAGGGCAGTGCTGGGGATTACCTTCTACTGATTTATTTTCCATCTGGGTAGTGGCTGATTTTAACTTGTAGATAATTTGTTCAAAAGACTCAGAAATTGTTTGTCCAGTGGTATATATAACATTAAATCTTACAATGTATTCCCCTATAAGATATTCCAGTTTTATATTTAACTCTGCAGGGTTATTCTAACATTTAATTGCCTAAGAATGAAATTTGATATGTTTTTATATTTTCTATTTTGTATGCTGTATAGACATCTCCAACTATTTTCTTTTTGTGTGTATTTTCTTTTTGCATATAATTTTCTTTATTTAAAGAGAAAAAAGGAAATAAAAAAAAGCAGTAAAAGGGTACAAGTAATACAGAATTTCAAGAAAAAAATATACAATAAGAAATCACTAGTTAATAGGTTACATATTGTCTTCTTAGAAACATCCAACTATTTTCTTGATGTTTGTGTTGATAAACTCTTTAACATTCACTTTTAATTTACATGAGTCAGAATTATTCCATTTTCAAAACTTACCGAATCCTAAGATTTAAAAAGATGTAACATTTTTCTTAGGTCTAAAAAGAATCAAATATTTGTATTTCTCAGAAGTTTGGAATCCCTCTTTAACTTTATCCCTGACTTTTGCAATTCTTGAGTGTATGGTATTTTTATTGTGATAAAATACACTGAGCATAAAACTTATAATTTTGTACAATTCAGTGACATTAAGTGACATTTTAAATGTTGTACAATTATTATCCCTATTTCCAGAACTTTGCCATCTAAAAAGGAAATGTTATTTGAATGTAATAATCATGGGAAGATTTGCCATTATAGCATCAACAGACTAATAGAAACTTGTTAATATTTTGAATTTAAAAAGCTGGTTTCTAAAATCTCACTCAATTACAAATTTTCATTTGAAAATTTGATGATTTCATTTCTAAATTATTTTATAATATTTAGTTTATTTATTTATTAACTAGCCTTTCCAGCATGCCCATCCAGAACTTGAGATACATATATGAATATTAAATTTTTATTTCCTCAATGTCCACTTCAAAAAACTTTACTATGCCATGTAAATTTTATTACAAACTGCAGAATATACGAAATTACTCAGACATACTGAAGTTGCATAAAAATTGTAGTTACACACATTTTAAAAATAGGGTCTAATGTTTCATAGATGCCATCTTCTTGATTCACTAAATGTAATACTGCCCATGTTTTCATCTCAATACATAAATCTATATATACATGATTATTTCAATGGCTGCATGATATTTCCATAACTAGGATCATAAAGGAAATCCCATCCCTGAGTCCATTTAATGGGACTCTTTCTTTAACCCTTTATGTGGCACTGGTGAAACACCTATACTTCAAAATATAAAATAGAATTGGCTTGTTCAGCTCCCTTAAACTGATTTCATTCCAACTTTACAAATGTGTCTCCCACTAAACTCCTCCCACCTATTTCAAGCAGAGTGGGTAGCTGTAATATACTGTCTAATTCCATACTTTTCTTCATACCAACACGGCCCACTTCCAAGCAAGACTTGTCTCATCCCACGCTTTGGTGACAAACTTAAGTGGATCCCTCTTCTCTGAAGCATTCCTGAAGTACTACAGTCTACAGTAATGTATCCCTTAAGATCTAAGAATGAGATTTTCTAATGAGAATATGTGTTCATCACACCGATTCCTTGTGGCTCTAAGTGTGCACAATGTATCTACACCTCATTTTTAAAGTGAAGAAGGGTCATTTATGCCTATTTTAGCATTGAACTTTATTGAAAACACAAACTCAAGTAGAGAACAACATGTTTAAACAGTGAATAACAGCATAGCTTATTCAGATGACTCAATTCACTGGAAGCTCAACACTAAAAAAATTCACAATCTGCACAGCAAGACAAACATCAACAAATGTTTTCAGTTCTAATATTCATTTGGCATCCATGAAATGATCCATCTTAAAACAAGAGTTTAACTCTTAAAACAAGAGTTTAACAAGTTAACAGCAGCATTAAAAATGTAAGTTACAACATAAAACCAGACTGTCAACATTAAAGGACTATTCAGGGCTCTTTGGGAACGTAAGGCTGATCAGCAGCAGGTGGTTAACCATATTAACTCTGTTGTCCCACCTCAGGATCATTCTGACTGTCTATTTGGACTTGCAGTTGCTTAGCCAACTCCTCAAACTCATGAAATGCAGAAATAAGTGGCTCAAGACTGAAATCATCATCAATGAAGGCCATTGCCCCACTTCTTATAATATTACTGATATTTTTAAACATTTTAATAACAATCTGAATGTTATCATTTGTCTCTTCTATGTTAAAAAGACCCACGAATATTGACAGAGCTTTGGCACTGAATAGTTTTTTTGCCACCTTAAAATTTTCAGACAAGTTCAACAGCATTTTCAGAACATGAAACTTTGTTCTTGCATTGCCTTTGGTTAACAGGGAAAGAAATCCAGACATATAATTGGCAATCAGTGTGTGATAGTCAGCAGTCATAGTGAGATGTCTAAGCATCATTATTCCAGTCAGCTGCTCAAGGGAATCCACATCATGAGCAAGGGTTTCTTCACAAACTTGGCATATGAATGTCTCAATCATATTTAGATTTGGATATGGTGGAGCCATGTGAACCATGTTTTCCAAGAAACTTGTCCTAACACGGGAGGATGGATAATTCAGCAGTGTTTCAATGAGAGAGACAACGCCTGAATCTCGAATGAAATCTCGGGTAAATTGAGAAGCACTTCTCATACCCATTGCAATTTTAGAGATTTCTTGAATAAAAGGATCCTGAATTTTGTCCATTAATAGAAGGAGTTCTTCGAACTCTCCAGCCCTAATTTTAAGCTCACACTGAATGCAGCTACAGTACCAATTCTCAGGTTCTGCATTCTCCCTGATCCTAAGATGTTCACGAATTTCTTGGACTGACCGGTAGGAAGGATCATATTGAAATGGAAACACAGATGCAAGCTGATCAGGTTCAAACAAAAGTTCTTCCTCTTCCCTTTCTGGGCTAAGTTCCATGTTCTTGTGCTTTGCCTCAACTGCTTCATAAGACCTTTCAGAAATTCTAAAAGAGGTTAGGGGTGGGAAGCCAATCACACGACAAGGACGTTTAAATTGAACAGTGACCTCATCCCAGGACTTGGGCCTGGATGATACATTAGGCTCCTCCTCCACTGAATCTCCAAACCTGCAATTGACCCTGTACACAGGACTAGGATTTAGGTCAAAGCAGGCCTCGTCTCTATCCCAAAACCAGGATCCAAATATTGCCTCTTCTTCAGATTCAGGCCTGGCCTCTTCTCTGGCCAAAGCCCCCAAATTGGACTTTTCTTCAGTCCAGAACAATGATCCACCAATGGCCCCCTCCTCAGGCCCTGACTCAGAATCACAAATTGCTGAAGCTCCAGCCTCCAAACTGGCCTCTTTTTCTGTCCAGAACCAGGACCCAAAAATGACTTCCTCCTCATACCGGGACTCTTGTTCAGCTCTATCACTGTTTTTAACATCTTTCTGGGCCCTGTGTTTCAAGATGCCATTAGGTTCTTCATTGTCTCTGTGCCTGAATCTATTATTGGCCTCTTCTCCAGTCAAAAACCAGGACTCGTTATAGAACTCATCTTCAGACTCGGATTCAAAACTCTCCTCTCTCTTTGTTTTCAGTTTGGACCTGGTATTTTTTTCTTCTCTCACTCTCAGACTGATCAAGTTACTGGTATTTTCACCAGTCCAAAAGCAGAATGGGTTGCCAGCCTCATCCTCAGACCCAGACCAAGAATCCAAATAGGCCTCTTGCTTGGATCTGGGCCTGGACCTGGGGTTAGTCTGATGTTTAGCCCTGTGCCTGGACCTGGTATAGGCTTCTTCCCTGGGCCAGGATCTGATACTAGACTCTTCTCCTGCCCACAGAGAAGACACAGCAGAAGTCTCATCTGCTGACCAAAATCCCGATTCATTAGAGGTTTCCTCTCTGGTTCTGGGCCTGGGATAGCACCAAGAACCTCCGTTAGCCTCCTCCCCTTGTCCAAACCAGTGTTGGATTACTGTCTGGCCGTGAGTGCCAGAAAATGATTCAGTGTCCACACTGACCAGTTCTGTATCCATAGACAAGCCTCTGGATTTAGTAACTGACCCAGAATCAGCACTGACCAGTGGCCAGGTGACAGCATTCAACTGTGATGCTCCATCTAACTGCGACATTTCCTCAGCCCCAAACTCAGTCTGGGACCATGCTAGAGCATCATTCTTAAGCCTTACCCCAGGGATTGCTCTGGCCTCAGTCTTAGGACGTGCACCACCTACTGCCCTCCCATCAGTTTTGGGCCTTGCCCCAGCTACTACTGGGGACTCAATTTTGGGCCTTACTCCAGCTATTGCTGAGACCTCTGTATCTGGTCTTGCCCCAGCCACTACTGGTAACTCAGTTTTGGACCTTGCTCCAGGTGTAGACTTGGACTCAGTTTTGGGCTTTGCTCCAGGAGATAGCTGGACCGGGGGTCTAATCTTGGGTCTGACCACCAAAGGGACTTCATTCTCTCGCTCAACCCCTCCCATACCCAATTCCCCAGCCTTTTTTTCAGGCTTGGCCTGGACACCAGACTCAACTTCTGCCCCAGTCATGGTAAAAGTTAACAGAAGACTCAATTAAGTAGCTGTATAACAATTTCAGTCCTTACAACAGATCAGTCACAGATCTGTACCTTGACACTGTTTTGATGATGCAGGAGATAAAGTGGAGAACACAACTTAAAATCAACCTAGCAGTCACTCAGGCTCCTACTTAAGCACAATCTTAGTCAATAATATATAGATAAAGTGCAGAAGAGGCACAACCAGGCTGGGGAGAGCTGAATGCTTCCTGGCTGGGTGCAGAACTGTTGAGGGTGATGGCCAGCAGCAACTTCTGCACCACCAGAGCTGTCACTGGAAGTGGATCTAGAAAGAACAAAATGGGGAACTCAATTTCTCATCCAGTTGTGTTCCCTCATGCAGAAACTCTCACAGAGAAAATGGTATCAGATGCTAGGTAGAAAAAAACTAAACTATGATAAAGTCACTTTGTCCCTCTTGCATGCTACAAAATAGGTATAGGGACAGTGGAGAAGCTTGTTGACAACAGAGAAGCACAGAAGCTCCAGGACAGGACCCTAATCACCAAAGTGGGTCTCCAGTAATCCACCCAAAAGTGAACTCACACCCATACAAACCTGGACTGGTATGGTGCAATTTTCCACTCCTTTCTTTGTTCAAGTGGTATTAAGCTCCACATTCAACCACAGGGGTCCTACAGATAAACATACAAGAGAGAATCTTGTCTGAAGAGAGAGGCATGCACCCTGGCCCGAGGCAAATCTCTCTCTCAGTTTTAGGGTCAAATCTCTCTAAAGGTTCCTTTCTTCTGCTGTCAGGTCTTCTCCTTTCATGTCCCAACCCACACCTACCTCAAGATTTGTAAAATATCTACAGAAAATGGACAAAGAATGTGGTGGCAATGTGCAAATCTAGCAAAAAGTACAAGTATATGGGGTCCTACACTCACTTAGATCAAAGCCACCTGTTGCTCTTTAGGAGCTGTCCCCTCTGGGCCCCCCCTTCTCACCAGCCTCCAGAGATTTGAGCCCAATCTCTCCTCTTCTTTTGTTTTCTTGAAGAACTGACCAGCCTCAAAGCCTAAGGGCAAACAGATGAAAATGTTTAAGCCAAGTCAGGAAACAGTTATAGCAGCTAAGCCTGGTGGACACAGCAACATCAAAGCAAACAATCTCCCCGTTATCTCCTTCAAAATTTGGGACCTGGTGGCTTAATATTCTCATTTTAAACGGTCCCTGTTGCAGTGTTCCAGAGGGTAAGAAGCCTTTTCTAGACTTCCTCACACTTCCCATTACATCCAGCTCCAATTCTGATGATCCACCACAAGGTGTACCACACACTCACTCCTACCTTGCGCAGCAGCATTGAACAGGGGAAGAGCATAGCATATTCTAGAAAGTATGCTGTAAGATCTTACTCAGCAGTCCTTCATTGCCCACTCCATGAGCCCACCTTTTTAGGTCTCCAATTTGGGGCTCACGAGGTGTTGGGGGGATATGGTAAATACCAGGATCAGCTTCAGAAAGGATAAGATTAGCAGGCACCACTGGAAGCCCCTCTGCTCTGGTCACAGTCACCCCACCTTATGTGTATGTCTATTCAGTGCCTGTTGCCCACCCCCCAACCCTACACACCTCCAAAAATCCAGGCCATTTTCCTGCTCCTTTTTTTTTTCAAGCCTCTCATCTACAGATGCGCACTGTGGCCTGTCAGAATTTACCAGACCTGCCTCGCAGACAGGAGACTCTGCCACCAACAGGAGCCTGTGGGGAGGGAGGAAGAGTACGCAGAACACGGGGTCTAACAGGCCCCATTCGGGAATTGGGAGCTGGCTAGCAAGGGTGAGCCACCTTCAACCAGCTGGGCTGTACACGGTGTCCTCAAGCCAGCTAGCATCTTCCTGGCGGCCTACCTGAATGCCCCAGCACCGACTGCCACACTCCAATTTCTCCCACAGCAGGCCCCCATCTGCTCCAGAGCCTGTCTGAGCAGACACCGTGGAGGGCGGGGCACGGGCGTCCAGAAAGCCGGCAAGCGGGGAAGCAGTCTCAGCCTGGCCCCCACAGAATCCCAGAGCCTCAGAAACTGCGCACCTCTTTCTGGGACCACCTAGGACCCGCTCGCCTCCTGCATGCTCGGCAAACAGGATCTGGGGGGCCCGCTGTCAGTCTGTCCACAGAGGAAGGCCGCCCCGCATCCCCCGCAATCCCTTTACTTTAAGGGCGCAGAGTGCAGGACATCGGGCTACCCCTCCTCACCTGTTCGCCACTCTCCACTGGCAGCCACACACACGGGTTCCCGCCGCTTTCCTGGTTCCTACGCCACCAGAATGGCAAAGAACCGTCCGCCTCCCGCGCCTCTGCACCAAACACGGCAGGAGCTGCGCAGGACGCGACGCAACCAGAACCGCTGGCCGCAAAGGTGTCGGGAAGGGGGGCGGAGGGATACGGCAGGAACCTCTCAACGCCCCCTCTCAGGCCCACCGTAGTTCCGACGAGGTGGGCGGGGCCTGGGCTAGCCTCCGTCTGAGGGGCGGCTCGGTACCCGCCCGCCTCAGTAGTCCCCAGCGCACCCTGACGTGCAGACCACCACTCTGTCTCCCACGCTACGCCACTATACCCTGTGGGGCTGGCGGGCGGCTGTGGGCTGCGAGGATGCGCGAGGAGGGGGCAGCAACATGGGGAGGTTGGCGGCAGCGGATGGATACCAAGCCGCCCCTCTGTGAGGCCGCAACGCAGTCTGCGGTGCGCCGCCCCCTCGTCTCCACTCCCCCTCCTTTCTCGACGCTTGGGGGGGGGCGTGTCAAGAGCTGTGGCTTGGGGGGAGGGTGGGGGGTGGCTGCGCAACAGGCAGCCAAGGAGGCTCCCCAATGTTTGTCTGTCCCTGCTTTTCCCACCAGGATGGTGAGGAAGGTACTTCTGCTCTTGAAGAAACTGAGATGGGCGCCCCTCAAGGCTGCTTCTCTTTCAGAGGAAGACCTCAGCCCTCGGAAACCAATCACTGGTCTGGGTCCTGGGCTGAGAGTCATTTTTTCTGCCATGCAGACTGTTTCTCAATCCCATGTGGGAACTCATTTGATTACTGTGCTGTCCCCACAGTTGCCCAAGAAAGAAGGCCTTCTCTTTTCAGGACATGCAGGGTGTCAGTCATGTAGTCCTCTTTCTCTGCTGTCCAAGGGCCAAGAGTCAGGCACCAGCTGGGATCTTAGTCTTGGCTCCCAATCCACTGTTTTTTGATGTTTCCACTTGCCCTTCTGTGCAGGCTCTCATGATGTTTGGCAGTGTGGAAATGTGAGCGGGACCGGAAGCAGCTTGGATCTCAGCCATGGCCACCTGCCTAGGTTCCGCAGTCAAATTCCCAGGCGAAGGGCTCACAGTACACCCACTTTCTCAAGTCAGAGTTCTGGTTGTTGTTGGCGCAGGCACTCAACACACCCCGCCCGGACGATAAGACCATGTCAGCTTCCGCAATGCTTTACGTCCCTCTCTAAACTAGCCACCCCGTGCGCACCTCGTGCTCACTCCGTATTCACCCGGTGCTGACTCTGTTGCAACCCCTGATTGGCCACAGCTGGATATACTAGCCAGAGCCTGTGTCCCATTCCCGCCCTGCTTCCTCGTGGCAGCCTGTGATTGGTCACGGCCGAATATATAAACCAGAGCCCGCTACCACCTGAAGCGTCTCCTGTCTCATTGGGGGGGCTGTGCCGGTCAATATTTCTCATCTTTTGTTAATATTTTTCATCTTTTGGAAATAACCCTAGACTGTAGAACCTCTGCTTCAGAGGGAGACCAAAAATATAGTGTCCCAGTGAAGCAGCCTGAGGAAATCTAGACAGCCCATTTTGGCTTTAAAAATAGAAATGTAGGAGTCAAATAAGTTGGCAAAGTCAAAGTGTTGCCCAGAAACCTTAGAGGAAAAACAGCTCTGCTCACCCTTCCAGGACTGTAAAGTAGTAAATTTCTGTCATTTTACAACATTTGCAACATATTTGGTCTTCAATATCCACAGTTTGTGGGTCTGTTGATACAACCGAACCTTAATGATAAATATTTGAATTAAAAAGAATATTTAACTTGTATAAACTTTTTTCTGATCTTTATTCCTAAAATTATACAACATAGCAATTATCTACATGGCAGTCTTTCATTAGTTTTTATATGTAATTCAGACTAAATTCTATGCAATTCTGTGTACATATTATGTGCTAGTACTATGCACCTTTTAATAAAGGAGTTAAGCTTCTGCTCATTTTGGTGTCTCAAGGAATTCTTTAAACAGTCTCACATGGATACCATGAGAGGATTTCAATTCATCATAGCAGTAGTAGGCAATCTATGTGTTCACCATCTTTATGCATTTTGTTTTATTGATGTTACTTCATTTCTGTGAAGATCTAGTTTAGTTTGGGATAATCTCTCGCCATTTTAATCATCCTATGTACCATCCCTTCTTTTTTTTGCCAAAAACTAGGGATTTTATATGTTTTCCCATGAGATACATGTTGAACCATGTTACTTTTGCTGAACACTACTGATATTTCCCTGGGTGAAAAGGGAATCAAAAAAGGGGGGAAAGAAAGGAAAGAAAGAAAGAAAGAAAGAAAGAAAGAAAGAAAGAAAGAAAGAAAGAAAGAAAAAAAGAAAGAAAATGGAATCCTCTTCTATATGGATTTTTATATATTTCCACATCATCTTTTATTCAATATCAGATATTTATTATAATATTTAGATGATATAAAGGAAACATTTGGATAGTTCTATACTTTATCTGCACACAAATGGGTATCACCTATCACAGGAAAATGATTTCAACTCTGCTGTTTAAATAGACTTAACAAAAATGATGGATTGTTTTCTTTTTTATTCCACTCTATAATCTCTTGGGTGAATTCCAAGCCTTAGATATGGGAGTCTGGATTCTGATGGTATTTGTGGGGATATGTGGTATGTGTGTAATCTTTTTCCTTTCTCTTATTTTCTCCGCTTTCTTAAAGTCATTACTGTCTTTCATTTGTTTCAAAAAGTTTATATTGAGCATTTACCATGTCCTAAGTAATAGGGACACAGTAGAAACTAAGCAGAAAGACATGCTCATTTTTATGGAGTTTACATCAACTTGTGGTTTCTTCTTTATTCAAACCTGTATCCTAAAAGTTTATAGATATTTGAAAATTATGCCAGCACAAGTTTCTCTGGCAATTTTGAATTTGCTGAATTCTTGAGTTCATGATATTTATTTATACAGAAATGACTACCAAAAGCTGATAGGATTTGCAGTAAGACTGAAATATATGTTGGGTAATTTGTTGTCAATTAATTTAGAAAACATAAGATATACCTGATGAACATTTATTTATGAGAGAAAGACCCTGTCCTAAATATTTTGTGCTCATTAGCTCACAGCAATACTACAAATTATAAATTATTACCAGAATATACCACTACTCCCTCTACATATCAATGAGGAAAAGAGCTCATATAAAGTTAAATGTTGTCTTTAATTTCAGGGACTAATTAAAAGATTGGCATGAGGTACTAATCTATGTCAGAGACAAAGAGGGTACAATAGCCATGATTTCACACCCCACCACCTGCACTAGCAGTTTTGTAACCCTGAATTGCTTCTGAAAACTAACAAACAACCTGTCTTAGTTACTTTTCTCTCATTGCTGAGACAAAATACCCAACATCCAAAGTTAAGAAAGGAAGGGTTTATTTAGCTCACCGTTTGTGAAAATTTCCATAATCTACTGGCTCCAAAGCAGGGTGACACATTACAGAGGGGCAGTATTTCACAGAGGCAGAAGACAGCAAATGCAACAAGTGAGAGTCAAGCCTCTTTCTGTCCCTTATATTTTATTCAGTCTATGGGATTAAGCCAGTGCCAATCCAATCGGTGGACTGATCCAGCAATCATCCACTCTTTTAAACAATTTTTTTGTTTTTTTTCATGTTTATTAAAATGCAACTGTACTTCTACTTCATGGTGATAAGCAGAACCAAAACACATTTACAAGACTATTAAAATATGAAATAGTGATAAATATCACCACAAAATTTACAAGACTCGTATACATAAAGCTAGAAAATATTACAGAGAAATTAAAGTTTTGAAGAATCATTTTTAAGTGGAAACACTTGAAGATAACAATTTTCCAAAAACTGATCTAATAATTTAATTCTAATGAAAATTCCAATTTTTCATTTTTTATTTGACAGGTTTTTCTAAAATTAATGTCAAAATCCAAAAGACTTAGAATCATTAAAATAATTTTGAAAAGGAAGATAAACCTTGGAAGGCTAATATGACTATTTCCAGAATTAATATACAGTTACAATCTTATTTACTTTTTTCAGCTTCTCACCCTGAGACAATACAATGCTTATCCATATGAGTCTGTTTCATTTCACTTATGAATATGAACTTGAAGTGCATCCATCCACTTACTTATAAGTCTCCAGTTTACCTTTTATGGCTAAGTAATACTCCATTGTATAAAAAGACATCTTTTTTATCCATTCTTGGTATTGACATTTGGATTGTTTCCAGTATTTTTCTACTACAAATTGTGCTGCTATAAACATGGCTGTACATATAATCACCCATTCTTAATGCCAGTACCCTTAATGGTAACATTGCACTATGAGTCAATCATACACTCTAGGTTTAGCCACCTCTGAAAAACCTCCATGAGTGCATAAGGCTTGTGGAGAGCATCTAGACACAAACCATAGCACAACTCACAGCATAAAGCTTTTGCATAAAAGTAGTTTTAGGGGCTAATCATTATTAAAGTTTTGCCTCCAAACCCACTGTACCTCCTATACATTTGTGAATTTGCACATTAGCATATCCCTTCTTGTGTGGTTTATGTGATCAATTCTTATTCCTCTTAGTCATTATGGATATGTGTCTCTTTTTGTCTATTTAGCTTAAGTTAGCTTTCTAATGTTTTAATTTGTAATTTCCTGATGTCATATGATATTTAACTTCT